TTTGAAACACAGTGTTTTTAGTAAATAAGTAAATAAACCCATAAAACAGCATAATAATGCAATGAATAAATAATAAATGGAACGTAACAAATTAATTTAGGACAAAGAGTGAAGGAAAACCTTAACCGTCACCCGGATTTGAACATCGGACCATGACGGCGAACGGCATAATCACTTGATCACTAAAACTTTTGATGAATTTTTATTATGTTTATACTATGGTTATAGGGCTCGTAGAAATTTATACAGAGTTGACTCTAAGTGAGTGGATGCGAGTCTCTGTTACTATTACACGCCAAAATTCAATACAGGCGTTTTCTTGTAAAGACTGAGTGATTCACGGTACATAGCTGTATACGTCACTGTATACGTTTATACATAGTGTTTATATTGGAGGTAGGCCTATTTGTTTTTATTGAAGTGCTTTTTCAAGTGCACTTAATCCTTATCATATATTCATTGGTTGTACGGAATTTGTGTCGGGCTGAATGGATTACTGCTGTAAGCGTAGGGGTATACTGGTAATTAGGACCCTAGCGGAGTAACGACCCAGAAATGTATAGTTGGGTTATGGTAGGAGTACGCGGGTCATTAGGACCTCATTTGAATAACGTCCCTACCCTAGAATGCATAGTTCGGTTAGTGTTTGGGTATGCGGTTCACTAAGAGACCTTAGAGTAGGGTTGGGGTGTGTGGGTCATTAGAACCTTGGTAGAGTAACACCCCTACCTCTTTATGAAGAGTTCAGTTATGTTGTGGTATGCGGGTGATTACGACCCCGGTGGAGTAACATCCCTACCCTATGATGCATAGTTCAGTTAGGGTTGGGGTATGGGGGTCATTAGGACCTTAGTGGAGTAACTCCCCTACTCCATAATGCAGAGTTCGGTAAAGGCTGGGGAAAGGGGATAATTAGGACATTAGTGGAATAATATCCCTACCCCCATAATGCAGAGTTCGGTCAGAGTTGGAGTATGCGTATCGTTAAGACCGTAGTGGAGTTACGAACCTACCCCATAGTTTGGTTCGGTTTCATGTACCAATGAATTTCCATTTGGACGAAATAAAATAATAATGGTATGGTATCAATAGCAGACAATCACAAAAAAATTGTTAAATGTTACCCATATGAAATGAAACAATGGTAGAACTTTATTTGATAACTATATAAAATGTATTACGACGGCATTCACCAGCAGTATATGCTTTCATTAGGTGCAGTGATTTTCTTACCTTTTTTAATAGGTAAATGCAAGAGTCAGCTTGTTAGGTAAATGGAGTAAACTTAGGCATGTTGTCTTGAGGACGTTTTATGATTATGATGCAGGTGCTTGTAGAGACGCCCACTATGTTATGCTGTAGTGGGCTTTAAAAAGCCAATCTACCGTTATTTATATTTCTGTAATATTGATAATTTTATTGTAAAAACATAAGAAATAGGTGATTTTCTCTATTTTCATGTATATGGTTATTCGTAACCTATTGTATGTCCAGGTAGGTCTAATTTGTTTACTGGATGCGTTCACTTAGACATAGTTTATTAGGCGAGATATGGAGGTAGGAATGTAGTTAAGCTTACACAATTTTGTTTCATAGTGTTACCAATAATATACGTTTAGCTATAACAAGGGCAGTATAGACATGGGTGTATTTTAAATTGTTGAGTAAATGTATCGTTACAATTTACAAAACAGCAATTGTGTCCGAAAGGTCCACTGATTAATCTCAGATATAATACATACTCCAAGTATTGAAATACACGCCATCGTGCTGGGATTCAAAATTTCGACATTAATTATGTCATCATCAGGAATTGTGTCCATTCATCATAAAATACCCATAATGCACTATGCTCGCACTATAGAGTCATGCTTTAATGCACATATATACGTACTTATCGATCTGTTTTTTCTATAGAAATTATAATTGCTCAAACGCCATTGAAAACATATGAAATTAGCACGTCTTTCGATGTAATGTACAACGAAACGTAGATAAAATGGCAGAAAATTTCGTTGGAGCATGAATAGTTTATTTAAAATGTCGAGCACTTGGCAGGTCTCTATACTTTAGCTGGTACCTTTGTGAGAGTTAAGAGAAATAGACGAACGACTCTCCAGCTAAATACTTGTTGGAAGTGTTATTCTTTAGTGAGAAATAATTGACAGTAAACCCGATGTCGGATACCTGGTCGTGGAAGAAGTCTATGTATGCCGATCGCATGGACCGATATCTACCCGACAGGTAGGCCTACGCTTACCCACATATCTCAAATTTAATATTTTTAGTGCGACTTAATGTCTTGTGTATGCTTTAGAAAGCTGTTCATAACTTAAAAATTGTAATTCCGTATACGTACTACCGAAAGGTCCACAGATTAATCTCAGAATATAAGAAAGTAAAATACATACTCCAAGTATTGAAATACACGCCATTGTGTTGGGAATCCCAACACGATGGCGTGCATTTCAATACTTGGAGTATGTATTATACTTTCGTA